GCCGGCGACGCTGTCCCATTGTGAATCGCAGTAGATCTGGCTCCGTTGCTGTACGTGACGTTCCTCTCGCCGGCAACCTATGGTACCTGGGTGTATCGAGTCGAACTGCCACCTCGTCCTGAAGTCTCTGTTCGTGCCGCTGTTCCACGACACGTGGATTTCTATTTTGCCTCTTCTTACAAGCTGTATGGATCACATGTCCAGCGACTGAGTACGGAGCCGCGCGTTCCAATGTTTGAAGGTTTAGCATGCCGCCCTTGACGGTCGACAGCGAGAGGAACGCCATGTACAAGCAACTGCAGCGCAGGCCAGTTGCTGTACGTGACGTTCCTCTCGCTGACGAGGAGTTGGTCCTGGACGCCCTCGGCGACTTCTGCAGGCCCAAGCGGACACCGGTGGGTGATCCTTCACATGTTGCGGCAACGGCTTTCACCACGGCCTATTTGGAGTGGGTACACGACATGGAAGTTCAGGCCACAGAAGGCCGTAGACGTTTTGCTTGTCGTTGCGAGTACCCTTCGCTCTGGGAAACTTTGGAAGTGAGAGAACTTTTGGAAGAAAAGCTTCGCCAGGCCAACGCCTTGCAGCTCGAAGAGGGGGGCACTGGTGACCCCCCTTGAGCTACCGTCACTATGTATTCGTCTTTGCTTGCGGAGAGGCGCATCGCCAATTTGGAAGGCCTTGCCCGTGCTTGCCAGACTCGCCCCAAGAAACGCCGGGATACTGATGCCTATTTGCAGGAAGAATTTGTTCAGCGAATCCGATGTCTCGGCGAGGGAGAAGATGGTGAAGTGGACGCTGAACATGTTAGTCACGATGATGACATGCGTGGTGCTGCCCAGACTTGCGCGGAAGTCTTTCAGCCGATCACCTATCGTGCTTCTACGGAAGAGTTGAAGAAGCTTTTGTTCTTTGAGTTCCAAGGTCGCAAAAATCAGTATACCAAAGAATTTTTGAAAGAGAGCTGGATGAAGAGAGATGTTCTTGGTTCAGAGCTTGCATCTTCCCCTGCGTGCGATCGAGTACCACTCCTACCCATGTGTCAGGAGGTTGGCAATTTGAGCAGCGAACTTGGTCTGTATAATATTGTCTTTTCTTCTTTGTTCTTTTTCTTTTCTTTGTTCTTTTTCTTTTCGGGGAATTTCTCAGTTTCAATGTCTCAAAGCTTGTGTCCGAAATGCATGTTTTTCGTGTAAGTGTTTGTGCGGGACATTGACTGAGGATCAGCGGGCTGATCTACTCGGTGGGATTCGTGCCTCGCAAGGCAAGCAAGATGACCCGAAGACGACAGAGGAAGAGACCAAGAGAGAAGACGTGGCTGCTGCCTTTGTGCGAAAGATTTTGCCTCGACTGCCGGCAGATTGTGTGCGGTTTCAAGATATGACAAGGAAACACGCCGTGCATGTGTCCTGTCTTGTTGGGATTAGTCATATTCAGAAAGCGAAAAGCTGCGTCTTGTTTGAGGTCACAACATTCATCGGCAGCTTGCAGCATGACCAACGGAACCTGTAACTCTTTAGCATCGAGAACAGCGCGATGTGACAACACGCGCGCCAAAGAACTCCAATAGATGGACGTGCAAAATCCGTAGCGAAACTTGTCTTCAAAAAAGCGAGGGTCTGGGACACCAGGCTCGGCGTCTTTTGCATAACGGCCTTGGAATTTCCGCCAAAGAGGCGTTGGCAACTTCTTCCCCTGTCGCATGCACTGCAGTAGGTCGATCAAAGGATCGCCAGACTTGAACCTCATGGTCCCTCGCAGCTCGAAAACATCGGGGATGTTTGCAAACACTTCTTGCGCGTGCTGTACTTCAGGCGCCACTGCCTCGTACTTGAGCTCGCCATCGGCATTCTTTGCATCCAAGTCACCCAGCAAAGACAACTGTGCGGTAGGCCGAAGCTGAAAGTAGGAACGCGACCAAAAGCACAGCCGACTTTGGAGTATGTATGGGGATCGACATGCCAAGCCACACGACGACCCAACATAGCTCCAAAGTCTAGCATGTTGTACATCATAGCCGAAACCATGCTGATCTCCTCGATGATCAAGACTCGGATGCTGTTCCACAAAGTCTTCAAACGT